ATCTTTTGATTTATTTTATTCTTTTCTTTATATTTTTGCCCCTTTTTCAAATTACTTTTGTAATTTAGATCTTTGAATACACAATATCCGTAGATATTGGCACAGGTCTTAGAAACCTTTGCTAATATTTATAATTCATTTCCTTCACTTAAGTTTAATCGTCCCTCTCCCAATATCATATACTTATAGTGATTCTCAGTGAAATCTATTATTCAGAATCACTATAACATTATTTCAATTTGAGAGAGCAGGTTCTTTTATACATGTTTTTGAATACAAAAATGACTATGATATTACTAATTAATATTATTTAATATATATATTTTGTAATCTCAGATTAAGATTTTGAAATCAAGATTTTAATGTAATATAATATAAAAGAAGAAATAAAATATAAAAGAAGAGATCTACAAATGTATTAACTAATTAATCTATATAGTATTACTAAATATAATTATATATATATGAAATATTAATATTAATATAAGATATTTGTAATCAAAATTGTAAATCTCAGATTTAGAATAATAAAAGTATATAAAAATAAGAAAAAGAGAATAAATATGATATTTAAAATATAAATATAAAATTTAGGGTAATAATATAAGAGTGAAATAATTATATGATTGGATAAAAATAATGATAATTAGATGATAAATTGTAAAAATTAAGAAAAAGGAAATTTCGTATAATCAAAAAAAGATTATTGAATTAGAGAAATTTATGTTACTACAGTAACAATATAGCAAAAAATAATAATATTATTATCATTATTTAATTTAATAATACAAACTTTAATAATTCAATTATTATTTAAAATTTAATAATTATTATTTAAAATTTAATAATTATTATTTTTTAATTTTTATTTATATATTATTTAGAATTTTGCATAAATTATTTTTGTAATGCAAGTTATAAGATTCATATCACTATACAAATTATATAACAAATTACATTATGAATTATATAAATTCTGCAAATTCTTCAAATTCTGCAAATACAATAAACTGAATATTCCAAGACAAATTAAATAATATTACTTTTATTCAAATCAGATTATCAAAAATCAAGATATTATATTTTAAATTGATCAATTTATATTTTTAATCAATTTTTAATGAAAAATTAATTAATAAATATGAATTGATTATTTTAGAATATAATATATTGATATTTATTATTACTTAAATTGGATTACTAAATATCAAAATATTATATTCTAAAATATTTAATTTATTGTATTGGAATATAAAAGTTTACAAATATATAATATCTGATATAGAAGCTCTAGCAATTTATAAAAGATATCAACAATCAGTATTTGTAATGTTCTTTATGCTTAGAAAATTAAGAGAGATAAATTACTTTTAACAAGCACTATATTTCAGTGAAATATGTTATAATAAAGATAATTATACTAATCTATTCTTATCCTTTATTTTTATTTTTATATTTCTTTTTAAATACATGTACATGTACAGTAGATGAATTTTTTTGTTTATATCTTAATTAAAAAATTTTCAAAAAAATCGTGGAAATTTATAAATATATTTTTTATAATGTTAGGAACAAGATTTCTTAATATCATAAAGCGCATTAGCATAATAATATTTTGCAGAATTTTGTGTCAAATGTGACGAATTGTAATTTTTTACATTTAAAAAGGAATAAAAATTATTTTTAATAGATTTATGAAAATATATTTTGTGATATAAAGAATATATTTATAATTTAAAAAATTTTTTCATTCCTTTTTATTTAACCAATATCATTCAAAAATATAGTAAAATGAGAACATTTACTATGTTTTATTAAAAAATCTATAAAAATAAAGCCTTTTTTGAATGATATCTATTAAATAAAAATGAACCAAAAAATTTTTTTAAATTACAAATATATTCTTTTGTCACAAAATATATTTCATAAAATTCTTTTCAAAATCATTAAAAATAGTTTTTTATTCCTTCATAAATGTAAAAAATTACAATTCGTCACATTTTACACAAAATTTTGCAAAATATTATTATGCTAATGTACTTTATGATATTACTTTTCGTGCTAACTGTATATGCGGAACTACTAACCTAATAAAAATGTGGCAATAAATAAATAGAAATAATAGCTTTAAGAAAAACTTTACGAAAAATTTCAATATACGTCGGTAAAAATGAAAATATACAAAATTTCTGATTTGTGTAAAAGGATACTTTTTACATCTGTTTTAAGTATAACCTGCTATTTTTAAAAAATAATATTTTTTTTCGTATCCAACAAAAACATGGAATTTATCATTTTAAATATTTTGTGATTTCTTTAACCCAAAATGCCCCTCAATAAAACCAACTTGACACTCGAATTTCGCGAATTGATTTTCTTGTTCTTTCAAAGTAGTAGAACATAAGTCACCTACGTGATGTTTCTCAATTAAAGAATAACACAATAATCTTTGTGGTCTGCAAAAAAATTCAGAAATTATCCAACTATCACGTTTAACATCACAAAAAGAAAAAAGACCTAAACTAGCAAATATTAAAAAGGGGAAATTGATAACTAGGAGATAAACTATAACTGAAGAAAATGGAGCTATAGTTTGGTCTTTATTGACTTCAGGATAATAAAGATATCCTTTTTCCCCTTCTTTTACAGCACCACTGAATGCAGCAAGAGTTACTTGCGCCCATTTTTGTGCTAGAGCATCAGCGAATAATTGGCTGTTTCCTTGCCATGCTACATCTTCAGTATCAAATGCTACTCGTTGAGTCCATCGGTTTGATGCAGAGCCAATGACCAAAAGTTGCGGATTTGTAAAGTTTGACAAAAATTTAGCTTCTAATGATCCTAAAGTAATAGTATACTCAATCCTGTGTGCTAACATTTGACAATGTAACACGATTGCATAAAGAGAGGCATGAACTTCGTGTACAAATCCAGAGTCATGTTTTTGCATTTCCCCGTTAATTTCAATGGAAATTATTGCGTGTATAGGATTCAATGCTGTGTAATTTTTAGTTGCTGGATTATAAGACTTTGTTGTAACATTAACATATGCAGTATTAAATAAGTCACCAGAAGCTGACCATAATGATTTAGGACAATCATAACTTGTTCTAGCTCCACTAACTGCTGTTAACTTGCAAATATTGCTGACAACTTCACAGGATGGTTTTAAAAATATACCTGATCCTGAATATGAGTAAGCTTTTTCAGGAGGTGCAGATTGTAAAAGATAAATACCACCATCAGCACGCCATATTTGTAAAGTGTCGCTCGAATTTTGGTATACGCGTAATGCTCTTGTTGAATCACGTATACTTTGAGTTGCAACTGTTTCAGATAGTCCGCAACTATCTGAATAAGTAAAATCTTCAGTGCAATCATCTGAAATGCTAAGTGTTCTATTACTTTGGATAACTGGACCAGGCAGTCTTTGAGTTCTTCCGTTAGCAGTAACATGCAGAAATAAATCTGCTGCATATGTTGCATATTGCCACACCAAGATTGAGGCAATTATGAACGCAACTTTTCGAAAATTTCCAGGTTTCAGGCAGGATTTTATGGTGCTAAACAAATTACGCGATATTGATGCTTCTAATAATATACTAAGTGAATTGCCTGTGCCACGTAATATTGGCTTTTGGTCGAATGCAATTATTCCTGCTAAAATAGATGGCACCATGACGCCTGCGATCGTAACAGTAACTCTTGTTATCACTGTAACCGCTGTTAAGAACAGATTAACACGCAAATCCCATACAAAGTGTAAATCGGTTATTTCAGTATAATTTCCTCCGATTATTATTACTGCCAGCATAGCAAAGAAGGTAATCCACCCAAAAACAATTCCCCGAAATATTGGCGAGCTGCTGGCTGCAGGTTTCGTTGAATCGTGCGGTTCTCCATTTTCACTATGATTAAGAGGAGGAGGAGGAATTGGATTATGCATGATTTCGTTTGTTCATAATCCAGGGTTAGTCACTACGGAATCAAAAGGTTCACTTGAATAATATAAAGATTGTTCTGCGGGATAGGAAGTTTTTTGAAAGTGTTTCGCTTGCAATTCCATTTCGAGCTTTAACTTAAAGATATCGATTTTTTGTGTAATATTTTCTGTTCTTTTACGTAGAATTTATGGGCGGACAACTGTATAAAAATATCTTTTTGAAATTATAATTTAACAGTGCTATAAAAAATGCTGGCATCCGGTATTAAATTTTATTGATTTAAATTATGTTTGAAATAATGAATTAAACTGTTTTCTTATTACATGTACATATATATTGTTATCATTCAGTTTTACTCTTTTACTAAAAATGTAAAGTACTACGTTCGAACACGTCGTGTTATTGTATCAGATTCTCTGCATTTCACTACCAGTCAGTCATAGGATATCGATATGTCCCCCTCTAGTGTATTAATTAAGGGATCGACGAATGCATAAAGTGTAGTTACACTTATATGTTTCTTAGTAAATGAC